CCCCCCCCCCCCCCCATTCAGTTCTATATCTCATTTATTCCAATGCCACGGGCTTTGAGTTCCGTATTGAGCTGGCATTTGCTTTTCTTGTTGCGAAAAATAAAAGGCTGTACAGATCCCTTGTTTAGCGCGTCAGCGGTTCTGCGGGACTCAATTACAGTGATAGGAAAGCGTTACCAGCTGGCTGATTTGCTTTCTGCTGGAGAAGCAAAGAGACCTTCCAGATCAGCTTCAATTTCCCCCCCTGTTTTTTTTGGCTGGGGGGGAGCGGGGTGGGGGGTAAGAAAGGAATGAAAGTCTTACTGGCAGGAACAGCAGCTCAGACAATGGTGGATGTGCCGTTAGGATTTGCACCGGTTCTCCTTTCCCAAGGTTAAGTTGCAAGGGGATGTGTTTGCATCCCCACGCCCCATCCGCGCTCCTTTTGCTGTGGCAGGAGAGCAAGAGAGCTCAGCTGCATCACTTCGACACACAGAACAGTGAAGGGGGCAAAGGAAAGCGAGCAGAGCCGGGCTCCGTAACGCAGAGAAAAAGCTTTGGGAAAGGGGGAGAGAAGGCAGAGAGAGACACAGAAAGAAAGAAAGAGGGGCAATGAAAACACACGTTACCTTCGGGATGGCTTTCCACACATCTCCCAACCTGTCACCACGCATGAATAGTTAGAAACAACAACAAGAGCAGAAGCCATCGCTGTGCCCCCCCTCCCCTCTCCAAACCTCCCCCCCCAGCCCCTTCCCCGGCCCAGCAGCGGCCCAGCATCTCTCAGGCATTGCTGGCTTTGATGGCCGGGGTTGCAGCTCCCACACAATTGACTTTTATTTCCTTTCTATCAAAGTGGTCCTGGAGGAAATGGAGCAGGGTAAAAGAATGATGTCACGGAATTCTCGCTTGTAAACTTTATTGTAACTTTCTTCCGCCGCTTCCAGGTTTAGACAATAGAACAAAGTGATGAAAGAACAACAAAATATATCATTAGTTCCCCCAATAAAGTAATTCACGTATACAGTATACATTCTTTTTCACAGTTAACCTAAGGATCACTTTACAACTTGCTTCACTGTGCGCATGCTAACTAAAGGAGAGGAAAAAAACGCTTTTTTTTTTTTCTTTTTCGTGGTTTTTTTTTCCTTTTTTTTTTTTTTTTTCTTCTTATTTTTCACCTTTTTTTTTTTGTCGTTGTCGTTTGTTTTTGTTTTTCTTTCGAAGAGACATTGAAAAATCGTAAACAAACAAACAAACAGAAAAGGAAGAATCCCGAAGCGAACAAAAGAGCAGAGGGAAGGAAAGTAAAGAGAGAAAGAGAGAAAGAGATAACTATAGCATAAATAGGCAGTTTCATGTTGTTGG